CTGTGCCTCCTGTGTCCCTACGGGGTCCCCTCTATGTCCCCTTTGGGTCACCATGGCTTCGCTGTCCCTATGGGGTCCCCTCTGTATCCCCTTGGGGTCACCATGGAGTCACCACCCCACTGTGTCCCCCTGTACCCTCTGTGTCCCTATAGGGTCCTCTCTGTGTCCCTTCAGGTTCACCATGGGGTCACCACCCTACTGTGACCCCTCTGTGTCCCTATAGGGTCCCCTTTTGTCCCCTTTGGGTCACCATGGCTTCGCTGTCCCTCTGTGTCCCCTCTGTGTCCCCTCCATGTCCCCTTGGGGTCATCACATGTTCGCCATGGGGTCACCACCCCACTGTGACCCCCTCGCTATGAATGTTCCCTCCATATCCCCTCGGGGTCCCTACTGTGTCCCCCTGTCCCCTCTGTGTCCCTATAGGGTCCCCCTTGTGTCCCTTTGGGGTCACCATGGGGTCTGTGCCTCTTGGTGACCCCCCTGTGCTCTCCCTACAGACCCTCCTTCAACGCCACCCAGGGGGAATGGTGAGTGGGGAGTGGGCTCTGGGGGCGTCTTTGGGGTCGAGGGGGGTCTTTGGGCTCTGGGAGCATCTTTGGGGTCGGGGGGGGGGATGGTTTTTGGGATCTGGGGGGGATCTTTTTGGGGTTGCTGGGGTCTGGCTGTGTCCCCAGGCTCCAGATGCACCTTTGGGTTCGGGCGCAGCCTCGAGACCCCCGAGGTGGGCACAGAGCCCACTGTCACATCCCTGTTAGCGGGGTGGGGCAGAGCTGTGCCCCCACCCCCAGCACTCAGCGGGGGGTTTGGGGTCCTGCAGCCCGGTGGAGGGGAAGGTGGCTCTGCGTTACGTCACCCCCGTGGTGCTGGGGGTCTTCGCCCTGGCCCTGTACCTCCATGCACAGCAGGTGGAGTCCACAGCGCGCCTCGACTTCCTCTGGAAGCTGCAGGTATGGGGTGGGGTGTGGGGTGGGGGGTGGGGTGGGTAGGGGGAGTATGGGGCTGGGAATGGGATGGGAGTGGGATGGGGATGATGATGGGATGGAGATGGGATTGGGATTGGGATTGGGATTGGGATTGGGATTGGGATGAGGATTGGGATGGGGATGGGATTGGGATGGAGATGGGATTGGGATGGGGATGGGATTGAGATGGAGATTGGGATGGGGATGGGATTGGGATGGGGATGGGATTGGGATGGGGATGATGGGTCACAGGGATGGGGATGAGATGGGATGGAGATGGGATGGGATTGGGATGGAGATGAGGATTGGGATGAGGATGGGATTGGGATGGGGATGGTAATGGGGATGGGATTGGGTTGGGTCACAAAGATGGAGATAGGGTGGGAATGGGAATGGGGTGGAATTGGAATGGGGATGGGTCATAGGGATGGGATGAGTTGGAGTGGGGGATGGGATTGGGATGATGGGATTGGAGATGGAGTTGGGGATGGGATGGGAAGGGAATGAGATGGGATTGTGGATGGGTCATAGGGATGGAGAAGGGATGGGGATGGGATGGGATTGGGATGGGGATGATGGGTCACGGGGATGGAAATAGGAATGGAGATGGGCATGGGACTGGGATGGGCATGGGATTGGGATGAGAAAGGAATGAGATGGGGTTGGGGATGGATCATGGGGATGGAGATGGGACGGGGATGGGATTGGGATGGGGATGGGTCACAGAGATGGGAAAGGGAATGAAGATGGGATTGGGATGGGGACGAGACGGAGACGGGTCATGGGGATGACGGGTCACAGGGAGGGGGATGGAAATAGGAATGGAGACGGGGATGACGGGTCACAGGGATGGGACGAAGACCCCCAGGCACGACCCCACCCCGCACACTGCAGGCGACGGGCGAGAAGGAGGAGATGGAGGAGCTGCAGGCCTACAACCGGCGGCTGCTGCACAACATCCTCCCCAAGGACGTGGCTGCACATTTCCTGGCGCGGGAGCGGCGCAACGATGAGCTCTACTACCAGTCCTGCGAGTGCGTGGCCGTCATGTTTGCCTCCATCAGCAACTTCTCCGAGTTCTACGTGGAGCTGGAGGCCAACAACGAGGGCGTGGAGTGCCTGAGGCTGCTCAACGAGATCATCGCTGATTTCGATGAGGTGTGGGGGCTGTGGGGTGATGGAGAGACGGTGGGGCGTCATCTGTGGGGTGCAGGGGGTCCTGGGGGGCCATGGAGTGGGGTGTATGGGGAAAGCATGGGATGGAATGCATGGGGGGGGGTGC